ACATGAAGTGCCCCATTGTGGGGGGACAGATGGCAATTCATACATGACCCTTGAACATGAACTGCCCCATTGTGGGGGGACAGATGGCACTTCATACATGACCCTTGAACATGAAATGCCCCATTGTGGCGGGACAGATGGCAATTCATACATGACCCTTGAACATGAACCGCCCCATTGTAGGGGGGCAGATGGCAGTTCATACATGACCCTTGAACATGAACTTCCCCATTGTAGGGGGGCAGATGGCAGTTCATACATGACCCTTGAACATGAACTTCCCCATTGTGGGGGGACAAATGGCAGTTCATACATGTCCCTTGAACGTGAACTTCCCCATTGTGGGGGGACAGATGGCAGTTCATACATAACCCTTGAACGTGAACTTCCCCATTGTGGGGGGACAGATGGCAGTTCATACATGACCCTTGAACATGAACTGCCCCATTGTGGGGGGACAGATGGCAGGTCATACATGACCCTTGAACATGAAGTGCCCCATTGTGGGGGGACAGATGGCAGTTCATACATGACCCTTGAACATGAACTTCCCCATTGTGGGGGAGACAGATGGCAGTTCATACATGACCCTTGAACATGAACTTCCCCATTGTGGGGGGACAGATGGCAGTTCATACATGTAAATTGCGGCAATGATAAGGAAACGTCGCCATGTAACAGATTTGTAACACTTTGTGAAGTCTCTTATCACAGATCTGACGCGACTCGACGGACCAGGCAGGACTGTCTCAGGTGATTGGTTGCCCTCGGGGGGCAATTAAAATGTTAGGAATATAATATAAAAGAGATAATGAAGAGGATGGTTATCAGCAGAGTGAAGTCTGCACAGCGATGAGTCCGCGCTCTCATGTATCACACGTGGGGCTCATTGAGCGGGTCATTGGTGACGCTGTGTTGTGTTGGTGAAACTAATTGCGGTGTTTGCTGGTTCTCCTCCATGATCTGCTGGGGGTTGTGATCCGTTACACCAACACACGCACCATATTATTGAGTGTCCATGAACGCCGAGCACTGCCGCCATCTGAATCCAGAGGACATAACGCAGATTGCATTGTCCTTGGGTTTGGACTGTATTGGGGAGCGGCGACCAAGGCAGCCTATGAGCGGTTATGATCACAGAGAGTCACCACAAGTTCATCATCATCATCACAATGTCCTTCATTTCACTTTTTACCCCATTTTGGATAGAGATGGGGGAGGCTTAATCAAGTGTTTTTGACATTTCTGTCTCAACAGAGAGATTTCCCTTCACTTCCTGTCCTATAGACGCAACAGGAAGTGAGAGGATATCCTTTAAATGTGAGGGAAATCCACGTTTAGACAGTTGTCATTGGAACGAGTGTCCCTGTTGGATGATTCCCCCTTCATAATTTTGGATTTACCCTCATGCTAATGCCCCATGACATTGGTGATCAGGACAATCAATCTAGCTACTTTGGTGAGTGTGGGCTTGTGGATGGTATGGAGTCCGGGGAGAGTGGATGGTATGGAGTCCGGGGAGAGTGGATGGTATGGAGTCCGGGGAGAGTGGATGGTATGGAGTCCGGGAAGAGTGGATAGGAGGGAGTCCGGGGAGGGTGGATGGTATGGAGTCCGGGGAGAGTGGATGGTATGGAGTCCGGGGAGAGAGGTAGTATGGAGTCCGGGGAGAGTGGTAGTATCGAGTCCGGGGAGAGTGGATGGTATGGAGTCCGGGGAGAGAGGTAGTATGGAGTCCGGGGAGAGTGGTAGTATCGAGTCCGGGGAGAGTGGATGGTATGGAGTCCGGGGAGAGAGGTAGTATGGAGTCCGGGGAGAGTGGTAGTATCGAGTCCGGGGAGAGTGGATGGTATGGAGTCCGGGGAGAGAGGTAGTATGGAGTCCGGGGAGAGTGGTAGTATCGAGTCCGGGGAGAGTGGATGGTATGGAGTCCGGGGAGAGAGGTAGTATGGAGTCCGGGGAGAGTGGTAGTATCGAGTCCGGGGAGAGTGGATGGTATGGAGTCCGGGGAGAGAGGTAGTATGGAGTCCGGGGAGAGTGGTAGTATCGAGTCCGGGGAGAGTGGATGGTATGGAGTCCGGGGAGAGAGGTAGTATGGAGTCCGGGGAGAGTGGTAGTATCGAGTCCGGGGAGAGTGGATGGTATGGAGTCCGGGGAGAGAGGTAGTATGGAGTCCGGGGAGAGTGGTAGTATCGAGTCCGGGGAGAGTGGATGGTATGGAGTCCGGGGAGAGAGGTAGTATGGAGTCCGGGGAGAGTGGTAGTATCGAGTCCGGGGAGAGTGGATGGTATGGAGTCCGGGGAGAGAGGTAGTATGGAGTCCGGGGAGAGTGGTAGTATCGAGTCCGGGGAGAGTGGATGGTATGGAGTCCGGGGAGAGAGGTAGTATGGAGTCCGGGGAGAGTGGTAGTATCGAGTCCGGGGAGAGTGGATGGTATGGAGTCCGGGGAGAGAGGTAGTATGGAGTCCGGGGAGAGTGGTAGTATCGAGTCCGGGGAGAGTGGATGGTATGGAGTCCGGGGAGAGAGGTAGTATGGAGTCCGGGGAGAGTGGTAGTATCGAGTCCGGGGAGAGTGGATGGTATGGAGTCCGGGGAGAGAGGTAGTATGGAGTCCGGGGAGAGTGGTAGTATCGAGTCCGGGGAGAGTGGATGGTATGGAGTCCGGGGAGAGAGGTAGTATGGAGTCCGGGGAGAGTGGTAGTATCGAGTCCGGGGAGAGTGGATGGTATGGAGTCCGGGGAGAGAGGTAGTATGGAGTCCGGGGAGAGTGGTAGTATCGAGTCCGGGGAGAGTGGATGGTATGGAGTCCGGGGAGAGAGGTAGTATGGAGTCCGGGGAGAGTGGTAGTATCGAGTCCGGGGAGAGTGGATGGTATGGAGTCCGGGGAGAGAGGTAGTATGGAGTCCGGGGAGAGTGGTAGTATCGAGTCCGGGGAGAGTGGATGGTATGGAGTCCGGGGAGAGAGGTAGTATGGAGTCCGGGGAGAGTGGTAGTATCGAGTCCGGGGAGAGTGGATGGTATGGAGTCCGGGGAGAGAGGTAGTATGGAGTCCGGGGAGAGTGGTAGTATCGAGTCCGGGGAGAGTGGATGGTATGGAGTCCGGGGAGAGAGGTAGTATGGAGTCCGGGGAGAGTGGTAGTATCGAGTCCGGGGAGAGTGGATGGTATGGAGTCCGGGGAGAGAGGTAGTATGGAGTCCGGGGAGAGTGGTAGTATCGAGTCCGGGGAGAGTGGATGGTATGGAGTCCGGGGAGAGAGGTAGTATGGAGTCCGGGGAGAGTGGTAGTATCGAGTCCGGGGAGAGTGGATGGTATGGAGTCCGGGGAGAGAGGTAGTATGGAGTCCGGGGAGAGTGGTAGTATCGAGTCCGGGGAGAGTGGATGGTATGGAGTCCGGGGAGAGAGGTAGTATGGAGTCCGGGGAGAGTGGTAGTATCGAGTCCGGGGAGAGTGGATGGTATGGAGTCCGGGGAGAGAGGTAGTATGGAGTCCGGGGAGAGTGGTAGTATCGAGTCCGGGGAGAGTGGATGGTATGGAGTCCGGGGAGAGAGGTAGTATGGAGTCCGGGGAGAGTGGTAGTATCGAGTCCGGGGAGAGTGGATGGTATGGAGTCCGGGGAGAGAGGTAGTATGGAGTCCGGGGAGAGTGGATGGACTGAACAATTTTGGCACAGAGTCTTTCTTGAAGATTTTAGGTGGCAGGGTTAGGGTTAGGGTTAGGGTTAGGGTTAGTTGGTAGCAATAAGATTGTAGATCTCTTATACATCTTTCTCCTATGATAGGACTTTCCTTCACTTTTAACATATATACTGGAAAGTGTCAATTGTGGGACTTTTGTATCATTTGAAAGCAACATTGTGTAATATACAAATAAGAGTCGCATTGTTTTATCTCTCAGTGCCCAATCTACGGCCTGAGGCTGCATGCAGGAGCACTCAGTAAAGGGGCCCGAATATCATGTGACTGCTAGCCGTCTCCTAGGACATCTCTCCAGGCCCTGACTCTCTCTTACAGCATATCTCCAACCAAGACTGTAGCATGTCCACCACCATCACCATCTTCAGTCTATGACAGTCCTCTGCAGCATTACATATACTGAACATTAGGTATGGCCACTTGAGTACTATGTATAATATTATATATTACTCACTTCCTGTGCCTAGGCTCAGGGCAGCCATCAGGGGGGTACGGCTTCTGGCCGGTCCGGCGGCAGAGGAGGCCATGTGTGCAGGTAAGGGGAGCTGGGAAGGAAGGAAAGGATGGAGGGGAGGGATGCAGCCCTGACCAGCCCACCTGAGACCCCTTCAGAGCCCACCATAGACAGTCTCAGATGGGCTGTGCAGCATCTATGGTGGGCTCTGCAGGGTCACTCTCAGGTGGGTCCTGTGTCCAGCGCATCGCTAAGCCCTGCGTCGAGCGGCGGGGCGGGGCGGCCTAAAGCCGTGTAAGGGGCCCCAAAATTTCTGATGGCTGCCCTGCCTAGGCTATCCTGATATCAGTAAGCTTCCTGTGCCTAGGCACTCCTGTTCTGTATCCTTATAGCTGTATATCTGCAGTGAGAGATCATCGAAGACACCGCTTCCTCTGACTGCTGGTCTCTGGAGTTTTGGTGATGTAACTATTGTGCTAATCATTGTTCTCCTTGCTGGAGAGTAAGATGTACCTGAGGACCTGCAGTTCAAGAATCTCCCTGCTTCCACTTTATTCGTTCTGCGGATCATTACCCCATCAGTCATTGGGGGGGAGGGGCCTCTGACAAAAGGAAGCAAAACCCAGCTCATTGATCAGGATGGCCGCTTCCACACAGAGGCACAGTGCAGAGCAAGACATTATAAGTCGGCAGTGGGGAAAGGGTCAATAGACAATGTTGGTGGCACTTTATCTTATTCTTATTTTAGGAAATTTTCAAACCCCGTAACGGGTGTTATTATCTTCTGATGTCCCCATCAGTGATTGCATGTTGTCTCCTAATTGGTTGTGTTTATATCTAGCAGGTACATTCTATGGAACACTCAAATAAAACATCTTCTGTAAAGTTCATTCTGCTGGGGTTATCTAGTGACCCGTACCTCCAGGTGGTCTACTTCCTGGTATTCCTGGGTATATATCTGATCACCTTATCAGGAAACCTTCTTCTCATCATCGTGGTGAGGATCAACCCCAAGCTACAGACCCCCATGTACTTCTTCCTGAGTCACCTCTCCATTGTTGACCTTTGCTTCTCCTCCACCATCGTCCCCAAACTTTTACTCAACACCCTCTCCGAGGACACAAGTATTTCCTTAGACGGATGTGCGGCACAGATGTTCTTCTCTTTAGTCCTTGGGGCAGCAGAATGCCTATTGCTTGCTGTGATGGCCTTTGACAGGTATGCGGCGATTTGTAAACCATTGCACTACAACTCCATCATGAACAAAAGACTCTGCATTGGTTTAGCATTCATAGCATGGAGTGGAGGTTCAGTAAATGCCACCATTCATGTTGTCCTCACCTTCCAACTGCCCTACTGCAAGTCCCATCATGTCAATAACTTCTTCTGTGAGGTGCCTCCATTCTTACGTATGTCCTGTAGGGACCCGAGACTTAATGAGATCGCCATGTATACTGCAGCTGGGATCATTTCTTTATGTGCTTTCCTATTGACTCTAATTTCATATGTTCATATTATCTCCACAATCTTGAAGATCCGTTCCTCACAAGGGAGGCAAAAAGCTTTCTCCACTTGTGCTTCCCATCTCACGGTTGTCACCCTCTACTATGGGACTATTATGTTTATCTATCTACAACCACGCTCATCTATCTCTCCTGAAGCCAACAAGGCGGTGTCTATTGTCTACACAGTGATCACCCCAATGTTGAATCCAATTATCTACAGCATACGTAACAAGGACATTAAGGGTTCCATAATAAGGATTCCCCCAAGACAATCCAATGGTTTTCCTTAATAGACATCCCTCCGAATGACTACATTTGGGTGTTTCCAGTCAAGGGTAGTGGTAATGCTAGAGCATACAAAGACATTGTAGACAATTGGGATCTTCCAGCCTTGTGGTCACAGTTTGGTGAAGGCCCTTTTCTGTTCCACCATGACTGTCCCCCGTGTACAAAGCCAGCTCCATAAAGACATGGCGCGACCAGTGTGGTGGAGGAACTGAAGTGTCCTGCACAGAGCCCTGACCTCACCTGTCTTCTCATCCAACATCAGATTCTTCTCTGTCCCACCATGACTGTCCCTGACCTCAACCCTACTGATCACCTTTGGAATGAATCAGAACATTAATTGTGAGTCATGTCTTCTTGTCCAGCATCAGTACCTGACCTCACACATGGGACAAATACCCACAGACCCCCCTGGATAATGGGGTTCAGAGGTCTCCAGTGATGGGGTTCAGGTGTCTCCAGTGAAGGGGGTCAGGGGTCTCCAGTGATGGGGGTCAGGGGTCTCCAGTGATGGGGTTCAGGTGTCTCCAGTGATGGGGTTCAGGTGTCTCCAGTGAAGGCCCTCTTCCTCCTCCATCATACAAAGACATTGTAGACAATTGTGATCTTCCAGCCTTGTGGTCACAGTTTGGTGAAGACCCTTTTCTGTTCCCCCCATGACTGTCCCCGGTGTACAAAGCCAGCTCCATACATACACGGTGTGACCAGTGTGGTGGAGGTAGAAAAAGATAGTAACCGCATACATTTATAACCAGCCTTTGTAGCCGGGTGCACATGGGAAGGCTGACAACAATACAAAACAAAAAGAATCCCCAGCACACCTGCCGGCTGGCCTGCAAAAAAACAGTATACGGTAAACGCAGAGGTTTTAGTTGCACAAACCTTTGGCCACAAATATGTAGAAGCCACACTGCCACCATCAAGGCTCCTCTGTAAAGTGTGGTCCTAACTCTATATGAGTCTCCTAGTGGGAGCATATTGATGCAGTTGATAAATTGAAGGCAGGTGTACCAGGAGGTAGCCTACTCCTCCTCACAAGGTGCAGGAACGCACTGGAGGCCCAGCAACCACAGATGCATGCTGCGATCCCCAATGCGTCACTACATCCAAGATAGTCAAACTAGAACAAGATGGTAACCGCAGACATTTATAACCAGCCTTTGTAGCCGGGTGCACACGGGAAGGCTGACAACAATAAAACCTCTGCTCTTAACGTATACTGTTAGACGGGTGTGACGGACTCCCTGGCACCCCGACTGAGCACCTCCGTCATAGCACCTCAAACTCCTCCTCGTCCCCTCTTCCTACCATCATTCCCGGGGACTTCTCTACAAAGTGGGCTGTTGCTCTCTGGTGTCCCGCTGTAGCTCGGTTCCACTGCGGAGACCGGGGGCGATTTCGGGGACAGTTGCTCCGCATGTGTCCCACCTGATTGCATGTATAGCACCTCCTCCCATCCGATCGGTGAAGGGGTGCAGGCGCTGTCCGAGGAGGAGGGTACGAGGGCGGTGGACGGTTTGTTACTGGGGGACAAGGTATCACCGCCTGAAAGGGTCTGCTGACTGGTCGAGCTTCAGGTCGAGGGGGCCTCCTGGTATCAATATACTGATCTGCCAGGACTGCAGCTTCATTGATGTTAAGCGGTCTTCGGTCCCTCACCCAATCCCTAATTTCGACCGGCAACTGGTCGTATCGCTGCTCCATCAAGATGAGCTGGGCAGCTTCCGCCATGGTGGTGATTTGGCATCCCGCGAACCAGGCATCCACGGCTCGGGCCATCTGATGTGCTAGCTCTGTATACGGCTGCTCGGCTTCCTTCCGCAGCCCTCGAAACTTTAATCGATGAGCTTCCGGGGTGATATTATAGCGGGCTAGGATCCTCTCCTTCACCCGCTCGTAGTTCCTTCTGTCTTCCGCAGGAGTAGATTCGAGGGCACTCAAAGCCCGACCGGACAGTTTACTGATCAGGATCTTCATCCAGTCAGCCTCTTCTACTCCCTGCATGTCACACTGCGTCTCAAACAGCTCCAGGTACGCATCAATGTCTTCCTGGCCGTCCTGGAAGAGTCGGAATGAGTCAAACGGTATTTTCCTCCGGCTCCCTCCATCGTGCACTGTCCGTCGGTCTCCCGCTCGTTGAGCCTCCGCCTGTCTCAGGTTGGTAGCCTCCGAGATGAGCTTGGTGATGGTATCTGAGTCAGGTGGAGTGCTATACAGGGATAGCTTCCACTGGATATCCCGCTGGAGCTCCGTGAGCTGAGCGTCCCCCTCGCCCGGAGCACTCATCCTCTCTCTGGTACGATCTCCCTCTAGGAGTTCTGCGATGAGAGACGCCTTAGTCTTGCAGCTTCCACTGATTCCTCGGGACTCAAGTAAGTCCTTCAGTGTACTTCGCTTCAGTCTGCTATAGCGATCCTCCTCCGATGTCCCGGTGGTGGTCTGGATGTTCCAAGTGCAGGGAAGCATCCCACCGCTGCCACCAATTGTGAGGGACTCCCTGACACCCCGACTGAGCGCCTCCGTCAGTGATATGGCTTCCCAAATGGAACATATTCCAAACCCTGTTACCATTACCTCAAGAATCAGGCAGCACTCATTTTGAGGTAAGCAGAATGACACAAGCCTTTATTAACACAAAGCATTGGAGTTTTATAGGAAGAAGCCCCACCCCCTCCCGGTCTAGAATGAACCGGTATCATCCACTTTGTAGGAGACTGCTTTGTCCCAATACATACTTCATGGCACAGAGTCTAACAATGGGCTGATTAGTTTAACAGATAGGTGTGGATGGGGGATGGGAGGATAAACAAAGAGACATACACACAGTGCAATCCCCCACAATATGCAGCCTTCACCAGTGTTGGCAATACACAGCCTGGATTTGTCACAACGGGTCATTTGTTTTTTTGGCAGGCCAGCCGGCAGGTGTGCTGGGGATTCTTTTTGTTCAGTTTGGTGGAGGAACTCGAGTGTCCTGCACAGAGCCCTGACCTCAATCCTCCTGAAAACCTTATAGTGAAATTAGAATAGAGGTAGAGTTTATCTTTATATCAGCTTCCTGTAATTATAGGAGGACATAGATTGAGGGACAGAGGGGGGTCGGCATGTCAGTCTAATATTGTGAATATGCTTCAGGTGCTCAGAGCCGGTCTGGATAGGCAGTGACCTCAAGCCCATTGAACATCTTTGGGATGAACTAGACTTCCCATTGCAAACCCGTCTTCTCATCCAACATCAGATTCTTTTCTGTCCCACCATGACTGTCCCCTGTGTACAAAGCCAGCTCCATACAGACACGGTGTGACCAGTAAGGTGGAGGAACTCGGGTGTCCTGCACAGAGCCCTGACTTCAACCCTACTGAACACCTTTGGAATGAATCAGAACATTGATTGTGAGTCATGTCTTCTTGTCCAGCATCAGGACCTGACCTCACACATGGGACAAATTTCCACAGACACCCTCCAAATAATGGAGTTTGGGCGTTTCCAGTGCAGGTTCTGGTAATACTCCATCATACAAAGACATTGTAGACAATGGGGCTCCTCCAGCCTTGTGGTCACAGTTTGGTAAAGACCCATTTTTGTTCCACCATGACTGTCCCCTGTGTACAAAGCCAGCTCCATACAGACATGGTGGGACCGGCTTGGTGGAGGAACTCGAGTGTCCTGCACAGAGCCCTGACCTCAAGCCTACTGAACACCTTTGGGATGAATTGCAATACAGATTGTAAGACTGGTCTTCTCATCCAACATCAGTTCCTGACCTCACAAATGGGACAAATTCCCACACACTCTTTCTGGGAAGGCTTTCCACAAGATTCTGGAGTGTGTCTGTGGGAATTGTGCCCATTCAGCTAGAAAAGGCAGGTAGCGATGTTGGATGAGAAGACCTGGTTTGCAATGGCATTCCAGTTGACCCTAGAGGTGTGCAGTAGGGTTGAGGTCAGCGCTCTGTGCGAGACACCAAGCCAAACAGCCTTCAATCTTCTGGGATTACTCTCCACAAGATTTTGGAGGATGTCAGTGGGAATTTTGCCCATATGTGAGGCCAGGTTGGGTGAGAAGACCTGGCTCGCAACCGGCATCACAAAGGTGTTCAGTAGGGTTGAGGTCGGGGCTCTGTGCAGGACGATCAAGTCCCTCCACCAAACTGGTCACACCATGTCTGTATGGAGCTGGCTTTGTGCGCCTGAGCTCCTCAATGTGGCAGAGAATCCAGATACGTTTGGCCATATAGTCAGGGCCGGTGCTCCTACTAGGCAAACCGGGCAGCCGCCTAGAGCACACTGCTGCCTAGGGTGCAGCCTTGACCGGTCACCCCCCACGGCACCCCCCAGTCTATTTCAAATTGCAAAAGCCAATAGCAGGCTGGCTATTGCACCCGCCCACTGAGCAGAGGAGCGGAACGGAGAGACAACTTTCTCAGCCTGCGATTGGCTATTTCAAATTAAATTACATCCACCTTTTGCCTGCAGAAGCTGACCCGCAGGAGAATGGGGCCTTGGGGGGTTGCAAGTAGCTGGTCTTGCCTAGGGCGCAAAATAGTCTAGCACCGGCCCTGCATATAGTGTATATAATAAACACAGATACTGAAAAATAAAGAAAATATAAACACAAAATTGTCTTTTTTTTGTATCTTTTAATACGTGGAATCCAAAGCAGCCTAAAAAAAAAAAAAATGATCTGATTAATCTCGAGCGTCAGATAACAATTGCCCCCAGAGACCATTCACGAGACTGGGGATTAGAGGACATCTGCCACGACTTTGCTACTCCCTCCCGGGATGGGCACGTCTGTTCACCACAACCGGTATATAAACATCAGGCCAACATTTTACGTTGGTTTAGTGTAACATAAAGAACCCCTCCGAGGGAGACGATAGACATTCATATAAACTGCTTTTTGAAGGTTAGTAACTAAACCATCAATGATAAATATCAGCCAGACGCGTCTTGTACTACCCTTGTGGATCCATTTCCTTGCTAACACTTTCTAACGCTACTAGCAGGATATGCACATGGGTGAAACTCTGCACCTTCACTCAGGTACATTGATACCCAAGGATGCATGATGCTATTATGTATGTCAGTGTATACTTCTAGGTCCTTGCTTCTCAACTGGTGGGTGGTGACCCCATGTTCAGTGGGTCGCCGCGTGCCTTCCCCTTTTCTAGGCGAGGGGCTCCTCGGCCTCCCCCTAGCGCAGCTCTGTCAGTTCTTGGGCCGAGCAGCCATTCAAAATATGCTGCCCCGGCACCGAGTGTCAGCTTGAGGTGGGTATGGCCGTGAGGGAGCTCCATCCACACGTACAGCTCCCTCACGTGTCCTGTAGGGGTGCCTGGACCGGAGTGACGTCACATTCTGGCTCCCGGCACCTCTACAGGGCACGCAAGCAATGCACATATGGATGGGGCTCCATAACAGCACAGCAGCCCACACTGGACCCCAGGCTGAGGATCCGCTCCAGTTCTCGTAAGGTAGGGAGACTGGGGGGACCTGAAATCATTGGGAGTGTGTGAGAATGTGTCTGTATGTCAGTGTTCACAAGTACAGTGCATTCAACTCTACCACGCAATCTCACCTACCGTGCATTCTGGTGTGGGAGGTCCGCTTCGCGGACGATAGCAAACCCCCCCGGTCTGACCCTGCGCTTCTCCGACAGCACCCCTCCCCCGGGCTTACAGACTCACCGTAAATCACCGCCGCCCGCCGTCTGCACACGCCGTCCACTCTCCAGGCCGACGTCCGCGTCATCCCATCCAGGTGAGTAACACTCGGGGTGCCGCTCTCAGCGAATCAGCCGCCCCAGGCAAACGCCTTGTTTGCCTCGCGGCAGATACGCCCCTGGTGGGAGCCGTGTTGCGTTGTCATTGATTTAAATGGTACCCCAAATGCACCTCCCACCCGCAGTCTGTATGCGCAGAACGCGCTGTAACCTAATGCCGTGCGTTCCGTTGCAGTGCGACCTGGGTCACAACTTAATGACCGAGGACACAAATGGGTCCCGAGGTTACACAGGATGAGAGCCGCTGTCCTAGGTGGAGGTAAGGTTTCCAGGAGCACACATCTGATCTCCACCGTGTCTCTGTATGTGACCTGTATATTAACCCCTCACCTCCCTTATCCTGCACATCAACATATTAATCCCTTAATCTCCATCCTGCCAATGCATGTGACCTGTTCATTAACCCCTTACCTCCTGATCCCTCTGTGGATGACTTGTACATACATAATGAATCTAGAACATCATTAACAAGCTCCATATGAAGCACCAAACGCCCCCAATACCCCCCAAAAAAATGTTAATTTCCAAAAAATGATGATTATTATTATTATAGAGGATTTATAGAGCGCCAACAGTGTGCGCAGCGCTTCACAATATAAGGAAGACATTACAATCACAATACAAATCAAGACAGGATGGTAAGGAGGGCCCGGCCCCTGAGGGCTTACGCTCTAAAAGGGGAGGAGCCAGTGATACACGAGGAGGGAGCTGTGTGGGGATGAATGGTTTGAGAACGTGATGGTTCAGTGGTCAGGTTGAGGTGGGATCGGCTTCCCTGAAGAGGAAACAATCATGGCAAAAGATGAGTTCACCTTGGGGGTGTCTACTTTCCAACAAGGGGTCATTTCTGGGGGTTTACGTACCGTCCTGGAATTTTGGGTCTTTATTTATAATATCCGGATCCGGAAGTGATTACAGAGCCCCCAAAATAAAAGCTCCGCTATCTCAAAAAATGGTATCAAATGATTTGGGGTCCGGTGTTGGATGACGGAGGAATTGTCAGCCAAACTATGACAGAGCTGGAAACCAGTGAAGGGGTGACCCTAAGCCGGTACTCGAGGGGTGAGGAGACGTCCGATCTATCCATAACTTCTCAGCTCCTGTGGATATCAGGGGGGCGGGGATCCTTTGTGGGCGATGTGGGTCGGGTTGGGGGCCCTTAGGGTGCTGTATTTGACTCATGAAACCAACGTGATGGAGGAGCCGCTGTAGATATGGTAGCGGTCCATCTGCCAGAATTGTGGTCAATATTTTAAGATCCAACTTCAGTAGATTGGGGAGCATGAGGGGCGCTGCGCTGGGTCTTTCCCCTCCTTGGGTATTATAGTAATTTGGACCTGCCTCCGGACCCCTCCATCTAAAAGGACGTTGTAAGCGGTCAGCGAAGAGCCCGATGGGGTGTCGTACTTCTTGAGCACCTATTTTTGAGCTCTAATTCTGGGACGGCTCTGTGAAGGTCTCACTAGAGAGTAGATACATCCTCCCAATGG